AATGTTCGCGAAGCTCTGGCATTTGCGGACTACGAGCAAAATAGCAAGTTCCACTCAATTCAAAACATTTTGATATATAGATGCTACCGTGAGCGAAACCATGTTCATAGGCAGATTTATTTATAATCATGGCATCCTCCATGTCGTAGCCGGTATAAGAAATAACCGTCACAATTGCTTAAGCCAATTTAAGCACGGTGTACCCATCTGTCTGCTTAGCCATTCGACACTGACACATGTTACTATTAAATTGGCAGAATGTAAAGCATTTAGAAAAATGAGCGAATATAGGAAAATAGTTACCGTGGCGATTGGTTGTAGTCTGGTAAAGGTATAAAACATCCGCAAGGTCAAACATATTTTTTTTATAAAAAATAACTCACCCCCAAGTGAGCAATAGACCGTTGGTAACAACAGCGTTGTGATATTGTCCAGCTTCCAATACGGTAACATCCATGCCATCAAGAGTGCGTACAAGCATTGGCTGCAGTGCCATTGAGTCCTAATGCCCAATATAACTAAATAATTAATAATTGTAGATAAGTATAAGTAAGGATCTGGTTTATTTTTCAATACACATACGCCATTATTGATTAATATCAATGTGTGTTGGCAACCACATCGCGAATCCATATATATTAGAGTATTGCCAAGTATGTCTCCATGAGATTTTTACAAAACTCTAAATTGTAAGTATGGCAATTGGATTTACAGTCACAGTATCAAATTTTGTCTAAAAAGCAATATTCCAGAATACCTCAGAATAGAATAGAAGCCTTTGGTGAACACATACAATCTCGAACTCTTGAATGTTAAATAAACCATGATATTCCGTAGTACATCATTGAATTTTATACACAATTGGAAGAGTAGAAGAGTGGGCAAGCCGTCGCAACTAAGAACTCAATAGTTGCGTAACATACGTCATGAACTGATTGACTTGGAAATTTTAAAGGTACTCGCAACAACTTGCCTCTATATCTTTATGTGCTCCAGCAATTTTGCAAATTTTGCCGAATATATTTTTTAATATAGCGGCTTGGCGACCTTGGGAACCGCCCAACGTTATGGTGGGTATAAAAGTGACAGTCGGTCGTAAGGCGTGAGTGACGGCACCATTCAATTTCAACAAATTCGCCTCCACGAGGGCTGTCAAAACATCTTTATATAAGGTCCCCGTTTCCAAGTAAAAAATTTGCGGCACCACCTTGATGACTGTGAATATAACAATTAAAGAAGTGGCGGTTAGCAAGGTTTAGCGGTCCTCTGATAAAGTGTTTCTTATTGCCAAAGCAAACGACATTGCTCCTCGTAGCCCAAGTGGATGAATTGATCTATCTGAAATAAAATAGAAGTAATTAAATAAATTATAAATAGGAATAAGTAAGGGTAAATGCAAACTTATTTTTGGCATGTAGCGAATTTTCATCTTTATCAATATGAGGCGGCGAGGCGGCGAGGCGGCGACAAGAGAGCTGCACTTTAAGGAGGCGGCGAGGCAGCGACCAGAAAGCTGCACTTTTAAAATGAAGACACGTTTTTTACGATTTTTTGCACCCAGTGCCTCCCTGAAGAAGGCAACCCGTGCTAGTATTGTTGCCTGGAGGCGCTTGCCGATGTCCCGTTTCACCATATGTTTCATCATCACAGCCTTGTATATGCTGCAGGCGTTATGAAATGCGTCATATACTTCCGGCTTTGCAAACTCTGGTTCCAGATATTAGTGGGTTTCGCTGGGTAAGTCTCTTGCGTCATTTGCGTCTTGTATTCTTTTCGTAAAGTCTTTTAAACGTGCTTGGCAACGCAGCTACTTGCGTACGTACTGAACTAGTACGTAGCCCGTGAGTAGCCAGATGTACTCCTCCTCGTGGTTTGTTAGTTGACGAGGGAATATACCGTTGAATGTCACACCATCTAGGCAAAATGGGCGAAAACCTTCATCGGTCTGGTCTTGGTCTTCCGTGCTGCATTCCACCAATTTTACAACATGGTAATTGTTTGCGGTCGATCGTCCGCTTCCCCAAAATTCCATTTGCAATTGAATTAGGCGTTTGACAAAGTTCATTATAGGTAACGCTGGTCTGGTCTTCTTTTGCCCTCTAGCGCTATTTTGCAAAAGAAATATTCCAGTAAGTCCCGGCTTGTCCTGTAGGAATGGATCGTTTCGTCGGGGTAGTCCTCCAGCAGCGTATTCATTAATGCAGTATAATTGTTGATTGTTTGGACGATGTCGCTCGCTAGCTGGTCAGCTACAAAGGCGGTGCTGAAATATTCTCCGACTTCTTCTAGCACCGCTCTTTGGGCCTGCCAATTGGTTTTGTTGATTTCGCCGTCATGGAAGATTGTGTTTAATTTGGTCGTGGCGGCGTAGAGTTCGTACGTCCGAACTTCTACCTCAATGCCGATGATTCCTTGCTTAATTCTCAGTTCTAGCTTTGCTGACATAGCCGGTGCGAAAAATTGGGCTGCTTCTGTCGTAGTTCTGGCTGAGGTAATTAGTAAGTTTGCGCCTCTCCTCTTCCAATGCTCCCAGGTGGCCGAGAATAAGCGTCCAATTTGTTTACATTTGTTGAATAATTATTCAAGTATTTGTATAAAAATTTGGCCACATACGAGAATAAGCGAAAAATGTGAGAATAAGCGTATAAAAATTTGGTCACATACGAAAGTAAGCGTATAAAACTGAAAACGATTCTCAATAATTCAACAGGTGGTTGCGTGCATGTGAGAATTCGCTTGTCATGGCATACCTTTTTTTTTTTTTTTTTTTTTTTTTTTTTTTTTTTTAGAGATGGATTGGACCAGTTAAGTTAATGTTAGATCCATAATCCAGAAACGAAGTTGAGAGCGATTGATGAAAAAATTTAAGCATAGGTAGACTGATGTGGCAGAGTGTTCGCAATGAGAGGCTCTGTTCCGCTGTCAATCTATAAATCACCGTCCTTGTTACTGTACTGTCAAGATCCGGCTAATAATGCCGATAAAAGAAAAAGTGTAGGCGATTCGTGATTGTAATAGAAATACTAAATGTAAAATTAGAATGAAAACTCAGCTGATTTGATAAAGGCAGTCAGTTGCTTCAAATGCCTAAAGTTACCAGCACGAAAAATTTCATATAGATTGTTAGACAGGTTAAATATACTGAAAGATTGTCTAAGGATGTCAAACCTCCTGCACTCAAAAATAAGGTGCTCGGCAGACTCAATAATATTGCAATCCTCACAGATGTCAGAGGAGGAGACTTTGATCATTTTAAAATAGACCTTGTCGTAAGTGTGATTACTCATAAGACGGTGAAGAACTTTAAATTCCCATGTTGTGAATTTTCCTTTAGGTAGAAGCGTGGGTGTCAAAAAAGGGTAAATTTTGTAGAACAGCC